TATCTATAGATTTTATTTTAGGCAAGTCGTGATGATTCGAATGATCAGCTCACTGTCTGCTGCTGGCCGCTTGGTCGTTACTTTAAAAAAACTAAAACTTACATTTAACGAACAAAAAAATGCTCCAAACGTTTTTCTAAATTAACTTCATAAAGAAAACAAAACGAAAAATAATCACTTTGACATTACATACAAAACTGAACTATTTTAATATAGCTGAAACAATAGTATAAGCTGTTTTGGGAGAAGGGGCGGGCTCGGGCTGGTAATTCTGATAAGCTGTCGGACCCGGGCCGGGCTAGGGCCTAAGGTCATGTATTTGAGGCCCGTGCAGGGCTCTAGCCTGAACATCTTCAAGTGCGATGGGTGAACGATCGCTCTAACAGCATCCTCAGAGAAAGACTGAAACAGGAGCGAGCTCACATCAGGACTCGCGATATAAATATAGTGCCAGATCAATACACAGTGGCTTATAAAGGCTCTGTGTGCTTGGAAATATCCCAGAAATCCCACTGGAGTCCAGTACTGGGAACACGATAGATGAGCGTGACCTGACCTCGTGTGTCCGAGGATCATTAAAGACTTTGAGCTTCTCACGTGGTGATCTTTTCCCACTTTCATGATCCGTTTAGTTCCCCTGTGTGAGGGTGGATGGATCTGGAGATCTGCAGTGAAGCGCTGCGGTCGCTTCAGATGAGTGTGTGATTCGGCCGGAGTGACGTAACACCTTTAGAAGACCATCGAGCGTCTCACTTTCTTTACTCCTCCAGTTTCATTTGAAGATGAGCAGCGACACATCAGAACTGACGCAGACGCAGAGCCACACCGATCCAGTTATTTGATTCTTTTCAGTGCAGTGATGCTTGAACTGACCTGGTGTGTTTGCAGCTGAAAAGAGTTTATTAGAGCAGTTTAATCACAGTCGCTTTCATGAAGCATCACCTTCATCGAAGTTTGCGAAACGGCTTCTCGAACGAGAAAAATGTATAATTTTGTCGATCAGGAATTGATTAGCTCATAGCTGTGATGTCACATGAGCACACGGTTGTATCATTTACAGTTGTTTTTCAGCTGCTTGCACACACAATCTTCACTTGTCACAGTTTCTGAAAGCTGACACTCAAACAGCAGAAGCTCACACCACATCTGCAATTCTCAGCCTTTGACTCAGGTTTCAATTTCATAAAACACTTTTTGCAAAACACAACACACAGTTCTCTATGTAACACACACAAATCTAACAGGAATTAATATTACGGCAAAGCTGTTTGCAAATGCTTGCTTTTCAGATGTGTTTGTGATATTTTGAATGCAGTGCTTCGTTTTGCAAGAGATGCGAGGCCTTTTGCATTTTGTGTGCAATTCTTGGATTTGTGTGTGAAGTTTTGTAAAAAAAAAAAAAAGAGGCAAAGTTTTGAAAATGTGTTTGAGTAGTTGAAAAAAACTATAATAAACACTGCAATAGATCTCTCCATCTATTCCACAGATGATCCTGTTGAGAAGTTTCCCTCTTCTGATGGTTGTTCACATCTTTTCCAGCATCTTCTGCACATTTGAGCTCTTCCCGACAGCGAGTGCATGATGTGAGATCCATCTGTTCACACTGAAGACCAGCGAGAGACTGCTCGAGAAGGAAACACACGATACTCCTCGACATGATCATCTGTGTCAGTTCAGTTATTATCGGGTTTGTGGAATAGATGGAAACGTCTGCGGTTGCTAATTTTTTTGAGACTTTCCACTATTTTTAATGGCCTTTGAGACTGATTTCAGTGGTTTAGTTTCGCATTTCAGCGTTAAAATAGCCTGAGAAACGGAGGATCTTCTAGATACAATTAGGCACACACACAAAAAGCAGCGCCTTTGCTTTCTCTGCAACTGTGATGCTATTCTGAGGGTTTGTGAATGCGGTTGCCATGGCGACGGCTCAGCATTAGGACAACACACTGACATTATATAACAACCTTATCTAAACCGTGCCGCCGGAGTATTACTGTTATTATGATTACTAGTGTTGTTATGATGCACACGATTGATCTGTCATCATTGCGGCAGGACTCTCAGTCTTCTGTCTCTTGTTCAGTAGCGCAGGGCCACGTGTGCAGATCACGACACGCAGAGTGAGGAGTTTAAGCCATCCTCGTGTCTAGTTTCCATCGGCAAACGGCACACGCCGCATTAACTCTCAGACACATTTCCTGGAGAGAGAAGTGTTCTTCAGGATTGATTGTGTTTCAGCGAGCAGTGAGGTCGAAGGTGCTCAGGGCATGACTGGGGAACGGGAACAGCTGGTGACGTGTTCACAGCTGACCTGTTGCCATGGCGATGAGAACACGCATGAGGACACGTGTCATCACAAGACACATGTTGACAGGGACGCGTTCTTTGTGCTGTTCAGCTTTAATGTTGTTCTGCTCGTCGTGTAGATTCTGCAGCAGCTCTGTGTCGTGTCCTGAGCCACAGTGAGCGTGTGTGTGTGTGTGTGTGTGTGTGTGTGTGGAGTGTGTGTGTGTGTGGAGTGTGTCTCTGTGTGGGTGTGTGTGTGTGTGTGAGTGAGTCTCTGCGAGTGTGTGAGTGAGTGAGTGAGTCTCTCTCTGCGAGTGTGTGTGTGTGTGTGAGTGAGTGAGTGGGTCTCTCTCTGCGAGTGTGTGTGTGTGGGAGGGAGTGAGTCTCTCTCTGCGAGTGTGTGTGTGTGTGAGTGAGTGAGTGAGTCTCTCTCTGCGAGTGTGTGTGTGTGTGAGTGAGTGAGTGAGTCTCTCT